GTGGATGTAAATCACCTCATACTATTGTAAGTACAGAGGTTTCTTCTACTGGAGACATCTTAAACAGTGCTGGTGAGAAGAAAAAGCGTTCAAAGCAGCATGTTGGGAATCCTTATGTAACAGAAAAGAAGGATAAGTATTTTAGAAGAGTCCCCAAAGACTCAAATGTCTATGCAAGTAGTACTGGAAACCAGAATAGCCATGTGAGAAAGGAAAATTATCATTGTATTTGGAAAAGGGTCCAGAAGAATGATGCTGATGTAAGCAATTGTGACTTGGAAAAATTGAACTTAGGTTTCTCACAGTTTGATAATAGGTTGAAAAAGAGTACAGTGAAGAAAGAGCTTCCTAATCGTGTTGATTCTATTATATTATCACAATCCGCACATGAAAATCAAGAAAAGCTCAAAGTTCCAAAAAATCCGAGGAGAAATAAGTGTCTAGATCCACTGGAGGAGAATGAAAGTCAATGTCAAAAAGGATCTCCAGTTAATGGAGCCTCTTCAAATGTTTGTTTGAAGACTAACATGCAATCAGATGATGTATTTGGTTCAGCTACCCAAATAGCTTCAGCAAAAAGATCAATTAATGCTGCAGATTCTCGAACTGGAACAAGTTCTTTTAGGGCTAGATACAAGAAAGGGAATGTTCAATATGTTTCCCTTAAACCAATCCCGAATCCCAAAGCTTGTTCCCGTAATGTGGAAGCAACAGAAAATGTCCCAATTGTTGTATCCAGCGTGGATGATCAAACAGTTGAACATCAATTTGGCTTGTTATCTAGATCAGGAAAGTTCGATGACCTAACAGCACAGCGGCAGGAGCTTCCTGCTGTGGATGGAGAGGGTGACAACGCGGACCAAGAAGTTTCTCCTTCTGGTCAAAATGTTACACATGAACAACTAGCTTCTAAATGTCAAGCTCCTGTTTCTTCCTCAGTGAATGTCAGAGTGATAAATGCAGGTCAATATTCAGATAATATAAAAGCATTACCTGGTGATGCTCAGTTTGGGAAGTTGAGAAATCATAACACATGCACTCTAGAGCAGGGCTACGACAATGCTGCTACGGCGAAGTTCTTCGTTCCTGAAGCTAAAAGCCAAACCTTTCATAGTCTTGAAAATGATTGTAGAAACATTTATCAGGCAGTGAATGATGCCCATAGGGCACAGCTAGCCTCTAAAGCCATTGAGATCGGTAATGGCTATCCTGCTGCCGAGTTTGAGAAACTTCTTCATTCTGCCTCTCCATTTATATGCCCATCTGTTAGTATTCGGACTTGTCAGGCTTGCTTCCGCAGTCAAGCTACTAATGATCCTCTATGCAGACATGAGATACCTAATATCTCTTTGGAGAACTTGTGGCAGTGGTATGAGAAACATGGGAGCTATGGTTTAGAAGTAAAAGCAGAGGATCACAGAAATGCAAGACATTATGGGATGGATCATTCTAAGTTTCGTGCCTATTTTGTTCCATATTTGTCAGCCATTCAGCTCTTCAAGTACCATAGGACTCGTCCAATCCATAATGATAATAGGACTCTGGGGTCCGTGGATGTGGCGGAGTGTAAGATGAATAGAATATCTGAGAGTTCACCTAGTGCAGATCTGCGCTCAATATTTTCTGTACTTGTACCTCAACCTCTTATTGAGGATTCAAGCTCTTTACTACAGAAAGGTGTTCTTTCTGACTCAGCGTCATCTTCAGAGTGCAATAATGGTGATTTACATCATCTACCTGATGAATTTAACTTGTCTGATGATATGGAGCTTCTCTTTGAATATTTCGAATCTGAGCAGCCTCAAAGGCGGCGACCGTTGTTTGAAACGTATGTGATACTTAAGTTGTTTCTGCTAGCATTTAGTTTTTCTTTGTTAAGAGTTTATCGTTGGGGGAAAAAAAATGACCAACCTGTCATGTCCTCTTGCAATGCAACATTAGCCCATCACTAGCGAATTTACTGTCGGTAAATCGTTGTCCTCAATACTGATCATTTATACTCCATGGTTACCCTTACTTTGCTTCTGGTGAAGAACTAACTTTTATTTCCATATTCTCTGGTGTTGGATTTTTGGGAAGCATATTCATTTTGTGCTATTTCCCATGCTCAGCTCTCTAAGCAGGGAAACTCTAGTTTGATTGATTTGTCATCTTGAGTTCTGCATAAGGCTCTATGCAGCTCGTCGCCAGGAAATGTTTTTTTTGTGGGGTTGATAGCATTCTGCTGATCTTTCTTTGAATTCTCTATTACAGAATACAGGAACTTGTCTCTGGCAATGGACCCTCAAACTGTAGATCATATGGAGATCCATCGCTCCTACATACTACGAGCTTAGATGACCTGCATCCTCATTCCTGGTTAGTGGCAGAAATGCGTAGCTATTATGATTTTATATGGTTCTTAAATATGTGAAGCGCAATGCATATCTACATCCCTGTTTGGAGAAAAGAAATAGAATGAAATAAGTGCGTGAAAAGCCATCTTCTAGTTCCAGAGCAACATTGTTTTAGATCTGATTATTCCATGTCTTTACAGGTTTTCGGTTGCATGGTACCCCATTTATAGGATACCCGATGGAAATTTGCGTGCTGCTTTCTTGACTTATCATTCGCTTGGCCATTTTATTCACGGAAACCAGACACTAAAACCCCCAAGTGTGGATGACTGTATAGTTTCTCCAATCATAGGCCTCCAAAGCTACAATGCTCAGGTAGAATCATAGTGGCTAATCTCGCAATTTGAAGGTCTCTCATAGAATTTCTGAAGTTTATTAGACTACTTTTGAGTTAATAACATGGTAACAGTTAAAATTATCATGATAAGAATAATTCTTCAAAAGAATATATCTATAACAAAATGCTGAATTTTGGAGATATCTTTGGTGATGTCAACCCATAGAGCATATTAAGACTTTAGGAAGTATGTCCAAGGCAAAATGAGCACGACTAGAATTAATTGTCATGCTATATTACAACAACAATAGCAAACCCAATCCCATAAGTGGGGTTTGGGGAGGGTAGTGTGTATGAGACCTTACCCCTATCTTGTAAACATAGAAATGTTGTTTCCCATAGACCCTCGGCTCAAGGAACAGTGAAAATAAAGCAACAAACAATAGTAACGACTATGCTATATTCTTCGTCACAATTCCTGAAGTTTTGTGTTGAAGAAACATATTATGCTAATAATCACGGAAAGTTTCTGAAAATAGTCATTTCAAAGCTAAATATTTGCTAGCTTAGGTCATATATTAGTCATCTGAACTTATATGAGCTTCACAAAGCATAAGTGCTCCCATATCCGTATAAAAAAGGATTGCAGTGGGGTAGCAGTCAATATAGAAATAACCTAATAATTCCTTGAATACTGCATTAAAAGAGCAGAATGGAGACAGCGAATTAGCTGAACCCAACTAATTTAGGATTGAGGTGTAGTTGATTGTTTGAATGGCCTTGTTAGGCAAAGATTACAAGGTGGTTCAAGCAACTGGAATTGTACTCATTTACAACTGGGAGAACTGTTTATGTATTCAACTCTTTCTTAGTATAATATTATCCCTGCATGTAAAATACGCCATACATGACCTTGACATTACTTTTTGTCTGAATGGTAAAACAAACAGGGTGAATGCTGGTTTCAGCCAAGGCACTCTGCTGACGACCTGACTGAAGAATTCTTGGATATGGACCTTCATACAGTTCTGAGAGAGCGAATACGAACGTTAGAGCAGACAGCAAGTATTATGTCACGAGCTGTGAGAAAGATTGGAAGTGACACGCTCGTGAACAGACATCCTGATTATGAGTTCTTCCTATCCCGGCGACGTTAATTGCTTCTGATCCTCGTATTCTGATTGTAAGTTATGCTCTGTAAATAGTTAGTATACCTATAGGATCCCCTTTTCGGGGTTGAAAGTAGTGCTTGCTGGTTACAGTTAGGAATTTTACCGGTGCTTCTTCTTGTAAGTTCTGAAGTAAGTTGTATATATGTAGTTTTGTCTAGTTGGAATTAAATTACGCAGAGCATGTTATGAGATGATTTTTGCGGATTAAAAGTCACAGATAGTTCAGTTAATAAGTTGTAACTTTGAGATTCGGTTTCCACATTCACTGTGTGCACCGACTTTCAGCATGCCTTCTATCGGAAACAGCCTCTCTGCCTGTCCAGGATAGGGGTAAGGCTGCGTACATCATACCCTCCGCAGATCCCACTTGTGGGAGCAAACTGGGTTGTAGTTTCACAAAATGTAGCTGGTTATGAACCCGAATAAAATAGGAAGGTTATAGTCAGAAATCAGACGATTCTGCTGACAATGCAATGAATTTAAACAGAGTAGAGTTGATATAATAGGATTATATTAACCCACTCTAGTTGTTCGGAGCATAGTTGATTGGTAATACGTTTGGTTGGTAAAAGCATGGACCTTTCCATACTGAAAACTTGGCAAACTAGGGGTGTGTTTGGTATAACGGAAAATGTTTTCCAAGAAAATGTTTTCTTGGAAAACAAGTAGTAATCTTATTCATTTTCCGGTGTTTGGTACGCAAATTAAGGAAAATGACTTCTCAAGAGTATTCATAAATAATTTAGATATAATAAACNGAAAATGACTTCTTAAGAGTATTCATAAATAATTTAGATATAATAAACATGAATCCATAAACTTTCAAACCAACAACCTTCCGGACCCACAAATTTCATAAACTTTCCAATCGCTAAACTTTCANGGGCTTTGGAAAATGTTTTCCCTTCTCTTGATAAGGAAAACATTTTCCTCCAATTGGAGGAAAATGAATTGATAAGGAAAATATTTTTCAAAACATTTAAGCCAACCAAACATGGGAAAATTAGAAAACATTTTCCGAAAAATGTTTTCCTTCATGCCAAACACACCCTAGATAAAGTTAATTTTGATTTTACTTAACATATTATATGTGTGAACTTAGGTTGGCTTAGACAACTATTGGGAGTTGCACTGCTGTATAAGACGAGACCAACGTACGAGAAATTTCTCTCACAAGCAACGGCCAGACCTTGCATTTTGGAACTAAAACTTTAATGTTACATATGTTCCCGTATGGAAATTCAAGTGTCACTCTACAGCCAAAGACTTCATGAATGTGTGTGTACATGTAACTTAAGTAGAAATGAAACAAACAAAAGATGACAACACTTTTGTTTGCCTTTTGTATTCATGACATCTATAGCAAGGTTCGCCCACGAGAGCAATTGCAGAACCATTGAGAACAGTTGCCATCATTCTATCGAATTATAAAATATAATAACTCAAGCAGCCCAATCTTCATCGCTAGCTTCGTCTGCATCCTGAACATATTAAGAATCAAAGAATGTTCCAAAATGTGAGGGTCTAGGACTTCACAGCAGTGTACAAACTTAACGACACAACACAGCAGCAGCTAAATTACCATATAAAAAATAATCAATGAAAAAGAAGAAAAAGAAAGGGAAGTGTGTCAGAACTCAAACCTTTGATGAACTAGAGAATTCTTCAATGTCATCTTCACCCTACAGAGCGTCAAAGCACAGGGAACAGCAATTATATTTTATATTACCTGAATTTAGAAATGAGAGAGTTGCACAACCAGTACAGATATTTTTCTTTCTTTTGGACAAATCAAATGAACCAAGATACATTGATCTCTAGTCAGCCGAGCATGAGAAAAGTTCGCTTTCCAATCCATGAAGCTGTAGTCCATTTTATTTTATACAACATGAATGGATAGGAAAATAAATGCACTCATCAGAACAGGTTTTTTAATTTTGTTTTTAATTTACACACAAAAGAGTTTTCGTGAGTATCTGGATCAAACATATATAGCAACAGTCCAAGAAAACATGACAGATAAATTTAGAAAGCTACATTCAAAGCTGCAGATCAAGGAATCGGCATAACTTCCACGTGAAACTGTTTTTCATGGGAGAAATGTTAATTACAACAATGCATTATCTTCAAGAACCACCATAATCTTGCAATGTGTATTATGAGCACAGAAAAAAGAGAGATCCTCGCCTCTCCCAAACTTTCCTTAGCAGATGAAGGTGATAAAAAAGTTTGGCAAAGCTAGCACTGTCTACTTTAACTCAGATTAAGGAGAGCTACTTCCCAAAATTGGAACATCCAAGCATCATTCAGGGGTGAGAAGATATCCAATTGTCGAACTAACAACGATTCAGAAAATTAATTACTATGTATTTGACCTGGATTCATAGTCCATGAACCAATCCAATTATTATAAAATATATCTTCAACAGTCTTATAAGAGCCTGCCAGACTTCCTTTCTTTATCTTTGCTAGGTAGTCAAAACTACCACTTACGAGCAGACAAAGAAGATGCAAGAAACAGAGTCACCCAGAGTAGGACTGAGCGCACCGAATGGATAAATTGCTAGTCTGAATTTTACCTGAGAAGTACCAACATGATCAGACACGGTCGAACCACATCCTGTGCTGGATGTCCCTTTGTTTGTTGATTTTGTTGTTTTTCTTTGGGAAACTCTAGCTGGACTGACAACCTTCAAAGTTTGTGGAGAAATACGAACATAATTATTTGTGCATCAATAGAATAAGCATGAGCATGACCCAACAAAAATATGAAGAGACGTTGACGAAAGAATCACTTTTACCCCAAAACAAAATTCAGAGTTAGCCATGAGAATCCATCTGTGATAGTATGAAATATTATGTGGTATCCCCACCTATAGTCCCTCAGTTATCTCTTTGAGAATACAACTCAATGGTTAAGGCCATATTCTGCAATAAAATTTAGGCAAAATGCGAGAAAAACTAAAAAGGAGTTTGCGGTGTTTTTTTTTTGGGGTGGGTGGGGTGGGTGGGTCGGTGGGTTGTTGTTGTAGGAGGAAAGTTCTTAGAAATTTTTCCCCAGGGAACTATTTCAGAGAATGCCATTATGATAACGTCCACATTATCATCTGAAAATGAAAACATCAAAGCTATTGCTCCTATTTGTGAAACTGGTCTCCAAATTTCCTATCTTTCCTATTCTTTCCTCCCATGATTCTTGCATGATCTCTCTTCGCCATCTCTACCCTCTTTTACAAGGAATGTTGTTAATCCAGGACAGCAACTCTTTTTGCTCCCAATAACCATATTCTGCCGTGCCTATTGATATTCGATCACCTTCATAACCATGTCACTACAATCATTGTACTGTATATACACAATCACATGGTTTAGCATCAGGTGTCGCTAAATACAATTCTGAATGCAGGTTTCAGGATACAAGCTTTAGATCGATTTAAGGGATGAAGAGCTGTGGTGACCCGTGAAGGGAGATGGTAAGAAACAAGCATGGGTCCCTCCCTCTCTCTTCAACAAGTATGCATCGACATTGGTAAACAGACAAAATATTCAACAATTTCAAAAACAAACTTGTAGCCCCATACCAGAGCTACGAGTATGTACCTTGTCCACTTTCTTAAACAATGTGGAAATAGTAGCCTGAACAAGAGAATTTTGCTTAGTACGGGAGGATTCCTTAGACTTGGAAGCAGATTCAGCAGCAGCTCTAACTCTTTCAGCAACTTGACCTCGTGCTACAGTATCATCAAAAGGAATGTCACAGACTGCACCACAGATTTTTCAATCCATGAAACTATGTAAAGGAACTAGGAGATAGCAGGTAAAGGGAGATGAACAACAGAACAAGCCCAGAGAACAGCGAGATTTTGAGCGACTCTGACTCTAGTGGCTTCTATGAAGAAGTTTGAGAATAAGAAATTATTCGTGGAGATGATTCCAAACGTACAATTTTTTGTTGAATGATCCATACCACTTTTTTCTTCGTCTTCAGAAGTTTCAGCTCCATTGTCAGTCAAATCATCCCCCGAAGAAGCTTCTGCAAAACTGAGTTACTGAACATAAAACTCCTGATAATGGTTAAGCAGAGGAAGACATCAAACTCGACTGGATCTTAGTTAATAAAGAATAAAACATCCCTCAAGAAATTAATGCAAAAAAAAATACAAACTAAAATTTCAAAGAAAAAAAATTATAAGCATACAAAGTTGAAACAAAATAGAAGTGGTCATTCAGTCACTTCTTTGAATAGTCCTTGAATGAGTACCAAATTAAGGCTCCTTAACCAATATCCTTAGGAGTTCTAACAGATTCCTATTTCCCTGATAATGAAGGCACATTTTCTGGATGAGCTTAATTTAAATGCCTTTCTCTCTTATGCTTTACTTTATGTAGGTACAGTAATCCTGGGAAGTCCATGAAGTTGTCTTTCAGCTCCTTGATAAAAGCTATGTTATATACTAGTACAGTTGCATGCAATATGATACAGTCAGTGTGCAAGGGATCAATAATGAGGAAAACTACATATTATACAAGTCAAAGCATATACTTGATTTTTTTCCCTGCTGCCCTTGCTGAACGACGAGTTGGAGTTAACTCAACAAGTTCTTTTGAATCATTTTGACTTTCTGATATATTCTCCTCCTGTTCGTGTTCAGGAGACAGTTGTTCCACATGCTTGACCTCACATTCGCCACTGCTTCGTTTTTTAACGCTTGTAGCACCTGCACCGCCTTTGAAATCACACTCCAATTTCTCTTGCTGTAAACAAATAAGAAATCTAGAGTAGTGTCAGCAATCCTTTGAAAACAATTTGTAACTTTAATATACTCTACTAATTAAGGCTTTAAGCCTTTAACTGGTTGAATTAAGGGAATAACTCAACAAAAAACTAACCACATTCAGCTCCTTTGGAAACTCAAGCCGTGCTTCTTCTGGATTCTCGTCTTTCCTCCCTATCCACCATGCATCTGAAAACACAATCTGCAAAAGAAATAAGCCATAAATCAAGAAAAAGGAAACAGGAGAACTAAATGTAACTAAGTGCAGAATAAATCCTTTCTCTTTTTCATCAGAACCTTATAATAACTTGAACCGTAACAGAAGTAAACCAAACCCCAAATTTGGTTGAACAGAGTCAACAAACAAAAAGTAGATCTAAATTTTTTCTTAAACTCGAGAGAGAAAACTTTTGCAATGGTCATTGGCATTTGATATTCAACATGTTTTTAATATCTAAAAATAACATAGTTTAAGAGAAATCTACAAGGTCATCAGAAACAGACTTAACAATATGCCTTCTTGATGGATAAGACAACTCTATTTACAAGAATATTTGATTAAACTTTTGGATTGTAAAATGAAATCAATTGTGCAATTTATTAACATATGAAGGAAGGTTTCATCCTTACGGAAAAACACGAAAGGAACATTTCATAGAACGGATGAGAAGTACAAAACAGAGAAGCGTAAGGTATTAATTAATAGCAGTCAGTTTGGAAGTTTCGTCAAAGCTATTCAACTTACAGCATTTTTAAAAGATCAATAACTTGAGAAGGAAACTTGAAAGAACAATATCCATGCTAATCAAATGAAAATCCAGAAGCACAGACAGCTTTAGCCTAATAAGTTCTATGAGTCAAAATATGGAGCAAGCTAGCTTTACAACGCACTCCCATTCTACAACCCCAGCAGTAAGCTCCTTAGCCGACAAAGAAGAACCACTGGACAGTGTAAAATCATAAATTCATATATCAAAAATATGACAATATTAAAACCATATCAGAAATATGGTTTGTGTCAAACTTAACTAAAGATTCATTCTTGGTTCTATTTTTCATTGTCATGAAACATATCTGTTAGGTAAAAGATAAATATTTCCTCTCGATTCATCCCCATTCCTGAGAGGAAGGCTCCTGGATACTTCCTTTTCAACCATCGGAAGAGGTATTTTGTATCTGTAGACAATATAATTCCACAGCCTACAACAGATTAATGTGAACAGAAATTTTACCACCTTGGTCCATCTAAAAACGACGCCTTCATGATGATTATTTCCATTGTGATCGAAAAAAATTAACTACTTAGGAAGATAAGTATTTGCAAGACAAAGCCCCTGCCATTCAAATAGATATAAGCTAAACGGATTAGGAATCAGAAGAATAGAGCGTGTGCGGAATTACCAACCATATTGTCAAAGTAATCTTCGCACACTACATTCTTCCCACCTCTTGAGAACTGCAAAGTCAAATACCTATTCTCTGGATATACAATTGTCCCAAACAACTTCATTTGGCCCTGCAGATCCAACGGAGTACAAAAATGAGTTTAACTAAAATGTTAGATGAAAATTTAAATGCTAAGAATTATATGGTAGCAATTACTTTCAGCTTAGTAAATATATCAGGAAAAGAAAATTCGAAAAAATTACATATATTTAATGGTAATCATTCACACTAAACCTAAAAATAAAAGGAAAAATTAACTCTACTTGCTCCCAAGTAATCATTACTATTTCTTAGCACTCAATCCCAAACAAGTAGACAATCTACTTGAGAAGAATGAATGTAAAATGTCCTTTTGCTTCCTTATTTGCTAATACAGAAATAATCAAGAGCAAGTAGCAATAATTGATTAAGTAGTAAAAAATAGCTATACCTGAGGAAAGTCGAGGTAAAGAATAGGGTTTTTGGTACCAAGGTCTTTGAGCTCGCCAATTTTACCTCCGGAAACAGGAGCAAGTAAACCGGGAAAAGAGAAGAGGAAACGGTTCTTTCGTTGAGACTTGCGCAAGATGTCTTTGCCGTGGTGTTTAATTACTGTTTTTGATGGGCTCAAAGCACTAGTCCTGACCCTTGAAGGATTTTCTGAGAGCATTTGCTTTGAAATTGCCAGTTTCTTCAACCTCTTTTTCTCCACCATATCTGGGTTGGCTTCTACATTTGCTGCTGCTGCTGCTGCCTTCTTCCCGCCTCTAGCCATACTCTTTGCTGGAAAACAGTACTGGCCTAGGTCCGTGGTAGTATGCAGCAAATACAGAAGTTGCTTTAGCTTATAAAACGCATTCTAATGAATTCGACTTGTAAATCGTAACTGCTGAATACGACATGCAAAGTGCATTGACTAAATCCGGCTATAAGGGCATTTGTAATCACATTATGCGACTTGCGAATTCACGTTTCCAGTCCTTACCAATACGATTTACAAAGTGCATTTCGGAAATGAAATTTTAGCTAGCGTCATCTATCCTACTAAGAAACATGTAAATGCCTTTTACATATAAACTAGTATTAGTACCGTGCGGATGCGCCGACTCTAATCATGTAAATATTTAAGTTATTTGGATTGTATGTAAATAATCTTAAAATTTACACTTTTTCAGTAAATATAGATAATCATTGGATATTAACTATATGGAAAAAAAAATTAACAATTTCTTCTATTTTTCTTTTTTGATATCATTCTTGCCGGTGTCATTGAATCCTAAAAATAGTCGGGAAGCAAAATAATAACTCATATTTATGGCAAAACAATCAAATGTTGAGACAATGAATGACTCTTTGGATAAGACTTAACTCTTTTACTACTACTTGAACTCTTATTCGGTGTGTTGATATCTCTTAAAAAATATTTCTTTCTTAAATTTTCAGTTTCTAAAACATTATTTTTCAATTATTTTTATAATAATGTAATTGAAAATATTGTTCTTAATTCAAAACTCATTTTAGTTGGCTAACAAAAAATATAAAAAATTCTTTAGCTAGTGAATTATTTTTACTCCATTTTGATATTTGACATTAACCATGTTAAATATCTGAGTTATTTGAATTATATGTAAATAACCTTAACATTTAAACCTTCTAAATAATTATAGATAATCGTCAGATATTAATTAAGAAACACTAGATGAAAAAAGACTAACATCTTCTCAATTCTCGTAGTGATAATTTTATTTTTGCACTATTCTCATAGGTGTCATTAGAACCTA